AATAGATAAGCATGATATCGGGGGTGGGAGGGCAATAGATGGGGGGAGGGGGGTTGTTACTTTGTGAGGGTGAAAAGGGTAACTATTGCATTGTTTTGTACACCTGAAACTAACAATAAAAAAAAAAATGAAAAGAAAAAAAAACGAAAAAAAAACCAAAACACTTTTTTCAGGTAAGGGGAGGAGTTCCTCTTAAATAGTATTCCAGCATTAACTTTAGAAATTGGGTACATGTCTCACTTATTCTTTTAGGGGCTTCCTATAGGTAACACTTATTTTTAAACCAATGAACTGTAAGATCATAACTTGTTCTTCGTATTCTTGCCTTTGATCTTTGTCTTCTTATATTTCCTCCCAGTTAATCTTATCCCAGAATTTTTCTGAGGTACTTTATTTAGCTATTCTTCCTTAAGTGAATTTTAAAATCAAAATAAAGATTTGCCATCCATCCATCCATCTTAGAATTCTAGTTCACTTTTTAATAAAAGTAGAACAGGGTACTCTCGTAAGAATATAATTAATGACTGTTTGCTTTTTAGTAGACCATTGTCTAATTTAGCTTTTTAAAAACAAAAAGTTAAAGAGCCAAGAGACCAGTATGCAAATAGGTAGAATGACAACCCTTGGGTGTCCTGTCTGCTGCCAGGGTAATTAAATAGTGTGTGTGCTGTAACACAAATGTCTGCTGAAGTAACCACTCTCTCTTTTCCCCAGTCCGCCAAGCCACAGCATTGTGGTGAATGGAAAAGAATGTATCAACTTTGCCTCATTTAATTTTCTTGGATTGTTGGATAACCGTAGGGTCAAGGTAAGTAGCACCTCTGCTGACGTGGACCAACTGAAGACACTGGACGTAAAATCAAAGATGATGCAGAACACCAGACGGAGCTCTCTAAGGGTCTGCCAGTACTCTTTTCTGGAAGAGCTGTGACCTGGATTTCCACAGAGGGTAGCAGGACTGTCTGACAACCCAGACCTGGATAGTCAGAGATGTGCCTAGGACAGGGGTCAGCAAACCAAGCCACATGCGGCTCTTTGGGTATGTTCCATCTCAAAAGTTTGCCGACCCCTGGAAGAGCCAATGCTGTCCCTCACAATTAAAAATTATTCGAGAGCCATAAATATGTTTTTACATAATCACCATTATGTGAATAATATCCTTTAAAAATTTTATAAATGAAACTATGATAGTTTTATTTTCATTTTCAATTT